AATTTGGTGAAGGAAAACTAAGCAAATGTTTCCAGTAGATTTGTTATTAAAGAATTACTAAAGGAAGTTCTTGAGACATAAGGTAAATGGTACCAGAGGGAAACTTGGGACACTAGGAAAGAAGGAAAAGATGATAAAAGTCAATTTATCAAGGAAGCATAACAATTCTAAATGTGTTTGCATCTGACAAGAGAATGACATAATATATAAGAAAAAATGATAGAGATCACAATGGGAACAAACAAATCTACATTTGCATTTGTAGACTGCATCAGTCCTTTCTCAACAACTGATAGAACTAGTGACAGAAAATCATTCCACCCAACAACAGTAGAACACACATCCTTTTGCAGTGTATGTGAACATTTACCAAGATGGACCATATCCTGGGTCATAAAACAAATTTAAAAGAATACACAAAGTATGTCCTCTGACCATAATGGGAATGGATTAGAAATAAATAACAGAAATAGAGAAAATTCTCCAAACACTTAGAAATTAACACACTTCTAAATAATCCCTAGGTCAAAGAGGTGGTCTTAATGAAATCAGAAAAGATTATAAACTGAGAAAAAAAAATCACAACTTAAAATAATAATTTTATTCAAATAAATGCTTATATTAGAAAAGAAGAAATGCCTCAGTCAACAATCTAAACTTCCATCTAAAGGAACTAGAGGAAGAAAAGCAAAGTAAACTCAAAGGAAGCAGAAGAAAGGAAATAATAAAGAGCATATATTATTGAAGTTGAAAACAGAAAAATTAATGAAGTCAAAAGCCTGTTTGAAAAGATCAACAACACTGATAAAACTCTAGTCAGACAAAGAGAAAAAGAAGACATAGATTATTGATATCAGGAATGAAAGAGGGTATATTATCTTAAACTTTACCGACATTAAGTAGATAAAAAATAATGTCATGAACTACTGTATGCAAATAAGCTTAACAACATAGTTTGAATGGAATAATTCCTTGAAAGCCACAAACTACCAAACTGGCAGAAAATGAAAGAGATTATCTGAATCCTATGGCTATTAAAGGAATTAAATTTGTAGTTTAAAACAAAACAAAAAACTCTGTAAAAGATATCTCCAGGTCCCTATGGTTTCACTGGTGAATTCGTTGAGAGAAAAATATACTATCAATTGTGCACAGTTCTTTCAGAAAATATAAGATGATGACTCAACACACCCCAGCTCATTTTGAGGCTACTACCCAAAGATGGTACAAAAAAAGATATAAAGCAGTCCCATGGAATTTTTTAAAAAAGAAAAAAAAAAAGACAGTACAAAAAAACTATAGACTACTGTCTCTCATAAATATAGAAGTAAAAATCCTCAAGAATTAAGAATTTAGCAATATATAAAAATAATAATATACCAGAATTAAGTGGGATTTATCTTGGGAAGGCACAGCTTATTCAATATTCAAAAATTAATGGAATCCACAATTTTAAAAGTATAAATAAGAAAAATCAACTGATCAAATCAACTGGTATAAAAAGCATGTCTGACAAAATTCCATACCCATTCATGATTAAAAAAAAAAAAAAACAGAAAACTAGGAGTAGAAGGGGGCTTCCTCAAACTATAGAGAGTTTCTACCAAGAAGGAAAAAAAGAATACTATACAGCTATTATCCTACTTGATAGAGAAAGACTGAATGTTTTCCTTGTAAGATTGGAAACATGGTAAAAATGTCCACTTTTACCACTCTTATGCAACACTGCACTAAACAAGAAATGAAACCATCCCTTTTTGCAGACAAAATGGTTCCTACAACTAGTAAGTGCATTTAGCAAGGTCACAAGATATATGGTCAACACATAAAACTCTTTTTATTTTGAGACAGAATCTCACTCTGTCGCCCAGGCTAGAGTGCAATGGCACGACCTTGGCTCACTGCAACCTCCACCTCCCTGGTTCAAGCAATTCCCCTGCCTCAGCCTCCCTAGTAGGTGGGATTACAGGCGCATGCCACCATACCCATCTAATTTTTTTGTATTTTTAATAGAGATGGGGTTTTACCATGTTGGCCAGACTGGTCTCGAACTCCTGACCTCAGGCAATCTGCCTGCCTCGGCCTCCCAAAGTGCTGGGATTACAGGTGTGAGCCACCGCCCCAGCCCAATTGTATTTCTATATACTAGTAATGTACAACTGAAAACCAAAAAAGCTTTTTAAATTACAGTAGCTCCAAAATAAATGAAATACTATGTTATAAGTCTAACAAAACATGCCATCTGTATGCTAAAAACTTAAGAAGATTAAAATAAATGGGCCGGGCATGGTGGCTCATGCCTGTAATTCCAGCACTTTGGGAGGCCAAGGTGGGCGGATCACCTGAGGTCATCAGGAGTTCGAGACCAGCCTGGGCAACATGGTGAAACCCTGTCTCTATTAAAAAATAAAAAAATTAGCCAGATGCGGTGGCACGTGCCTGTAGTCCCAGCTACTCAGGAGGCTGAGGCAGGAGAATCCCTGGAATCCAGGGGGCAGAGGTTGCAATGAGGCAAGATCCTGCCACTGCACTCCAGCCTGAGCGACAGAGTGAGACTCTGTCAAATAAATAAATAAACAAATAAATGGAGAGACGTGTTTATGGTTTGAAGACTCAATATAGTAAAGATGTCAGCTGTCTCCTGACTGATCTAAAGATTTCTGATTAATCTAAAGATTTGATAAAATTCTGATCAAAATCCCAGAAGAATTTTTTAAAGATATCAACAAGCTGATTCTAAAATTTATATAAAGAGACAAAGAAACTAGAATAACAAGAAACATTTTGAAAAAGGGAAATAATGTTGGAAGAATCAAACATGATCTTAAGACTTTTGCTAAAGCAGGAGCTGACAAACATTTTCTGTGAAGGGTCATTTAGTAAAGATTTTTGATTTTGCAGGTCACATAGTGTGTCACAACTACTTAACTCTGTCATCATAGCAAGGAAGCAGCCATAGATAATATAAAATGAATATATTCCAATAAAACTTTATTTAATAAAATATGTATGAACTGGATTTGGCCTAGGGACTGTGGTTTGCCATCCCCAAAGCTATAACTAATCAAGAAATTATGGTATTAGTAAAAGGACAGACACACAGATTAATGCAATAGAACATATAATCCAGAAACAGACGCATATAAATATGCCCAGCTGATTTTTGACAAAAGTACAAAGGTAATTCAGTGGAGAAAGGATAGTTTTTCAACAAATGGTATTGGCACAATGGACATCTATAAACACACAGACACACAAAGAATCTCAAACTAAACCTCATACATTACTCTCAAAAATTAACTAAAAATAAATCATAGCTCTAAATATAAAATGTAAAACTATCAAAGTTTTAGAAGAAAGCATAGGAGGAAATATTTGTGACCTGGGATTAACAAAGAATTCTCTAACTAGACACCAAAAGCATGATCCATTTTTTAAAAATTGGTAACTTCATCAACTGTTGTTCCTCAAAAGGCACTGTTAGGACCCTGAAAAGACAAGCTGTATGATGGGAGCAAATATTTGCAAGTCACATATCCAGCAAAGGAGTTGTATCCAGAATATATAAAGAACTCTCAAAGCTCAACAGTAAGAAAACAAATAGCCCAATTACAGTGGTCAAAAGACTTGGATGGACATTTCAATAAGGAGATATATGAATAGCAAACAAATAAATTTAATATCATTAGCTATTTGGGAAACTGAAATTAAAACCATGATGAGATACCTCTGTATACCTATTAGAATGTCAATAATTTTTAAAAATACTGACAATTTCAAGTGCTGGTGAGGATGATGCAAAGTAACTGAACTCTCATTCATTGTTGCATGAGATGTAATATAAAATGGTACAACTCTTCTGGGAAACAGTTTTGCAGTTTCTTAAAAAGTTAAACATGTATTTACCATATGATTCAACAATCCCATTAAGTATTTACACTAGAAAAGTAAAATCAGGTTCACACAACAACCTGTACATGAATGCTTGTAGCAGTTTTATTCATAATTTTCAAAAACTGAGAAAAATGCCCTTCAACAGGTGAATAAATAAACTGGTACACGCATCTGTAATGGAAGACGGCTCAGCAATAAAAAGCAGTGAACCACTGATATACATTTAACAACTTGGATGAATATCAGGGCATTATACTGAATGACAGAAGCCAGTCACAAAAGTTTATATGGTGTAATTCCAATTATATGACATTCGTAAAGTCAAAACTATAGTTATGAAGAACATTTCTGTGGTTGCCAGGGTGTATAGGTTGAGGGGAGTGTGACTATAAAGTATATAAGGGAGGTTTTTTTGGCATGATGAAACTGTTCTATATTCTATTTGTAATAGTAATAAGAATCTAAACATCTGTTAACATTCACAAAACTCAATACCTTAAGAAAGTCAATTTTAACATATAAACAGTAAAAATTTTAAAACAAAAAATATATAATAAGTGAAAGATGATGACATGAAATTTCACAAGACCACATTACCTCAGTTTTATTTTTTAAAAAGATACATAATAATAAGTAGTGGAGCTAATATCCAGAGAAGAGTTCTGGATATTTACATTATTCTTTTTCTGTGTTTTGGCGGGGGGGTTTCTATATCAAAAGTGAATTACTTTTACAAGTTTATAAAACTTTATCATTCATTTTAATTTTGTAATAACCATGAGTTCAGAGCATCACATTTGGTTTCCATGATTGTTTTTCTTAAAACTTCATATGTAAAATACATTATTTGTATGTTAAAGTTTAATTTAGCTGCTCTTTGAAATGTCCTGTAAAATATTTAATGGTGGAAAAACTAAAAGTGTCTTTCTGTGTTTTTAAATATAATGGTATTTAAATGATTACTATATTGTTGAAAGTTTCCAAAGAAATTTTTTAATTACATTTTTTAACCCAGAAATTTTTAAATATTTTAATGCTTTAAAATCTGTAACTTATACTTAATCTTAAAATTTTCTTTTTTAATCCTTTTTCCAAATAATTGACAGAAGGAATGAACTTGAAAAAGACATCTGTTCTGGATTTTTGATGACTAATACCTGTAATGCAGAAGGTAATGGTATTCAAGAAACCTAAGTATTCAAAGTATAACAGAAAAACTATGTTATAGCTTGTAAGAACTTTCAGTAAATTAATAAAAATAAGAAAACTCTGAGCATTTCTAGTTGGTATAAGACTGCTTGTGACTGATACAAAATACCAAGTTGCCTGATTATTACAAAGGTGAAATGTCAATGATCATACAAATAAATATATATAAATTTGGAGATCTTGTTAAAAAGTTGATTCTGATTCAGCAGATCTGGGCTGGAGCCTATGGCTCTGCATTTCTAATAAGCTCTCAAGTGATATGCTGCTAGTATATACTATAGTATATACTATACATAGTAAATACTGTAACACAACGTAGCCATACACATATGTATGAAAATGATTGGTACTTTCATACTATGTTAAGGTTTGCTTTTTTATTTCTCTAGAGTTTTCAGCATTTTAACTTATTTGTTGCTGTTTTCAGCATTTCTGTTTTTAGTGTTGTAAAAACTTTTTCTTAAGGTCCTTTATTAGATTTTTAATATAATTAATGTTTTAATCTTTTACTTTAGACGGAGAACTGAGAGAAGACTGCAGAGAACAGGTAAAACACTTTCCCTGTTTATCACTAGACATTTAAATTCTAAGAGAAAAGCATAATGTATATGATCATTTTGAACTCAAGAAATGCTATCTATTGGTCTACATTAACTGGACTACATTAACTACATTAACTGGTCTATATTAACTACACTAACAGCTTCTAAAAAACTATTCAGCTTTTCAGTATTCCCAAGTTGTAATTATTATTTAAAAGCTATTTTAAAATAAAATTGTGCATAACAGAATATATACAAATGAAATTATACATCTTCAAGTTGACTCAGAATAATTCAGTAGGGAGAAAGTAGAAGGGATATAGGTGAATTAAGAGTAACCAGGAGTTGGCCGGGCACGGTGGCTCACGCCTGTAATCCCAGCACTTAAGGAGCCCAAGGCAGGCAGATCACTTGAGGTCAGGAGTTTGAGACTAGTCTGGCCAACATGGCAAAACCCCGTCTCTACTAAAAATACAAAAATTAGCCAGGTGTCACAGTTGCACCTGTAATCCCAGCTGCTTGGGAGACTGAGGCATTAGAATTACTTGAACCCGGGAGGCAGAAATTGCAGTGAGCCAAGATCATGCCACTGCACTCCAGTCTGGGTGACAGATCAAGACTCTGTGTCACAGAAAAAAAAAAAAAAAATAGCCAGGAGTTGATAACCGATGAAACTGGGTAGCGGGTAATACAGCAGTTTGCAAATGTCATTCTCTCTGTTTATATGTTTGAAATTATCCAAAGTAAAAAATTTAAAAATAAAAGGTGTATAATAATGATTAAATTATTCAATATATTTTATTACTTACATATAATTTTTATAAATAAAGCATGTAAAATAGCACATCTGACAGGTAGTTCTGAACCCCTCTCTGTGTCTGTCCCTGATATCACATCTCAGTTCATTTTGAGAGGAAACAGCAATTTCCTGTTATACCAATTTCAGAAAGGCTAGGATTGTAGATATATAGGAAAGATGGCCGAATAGGAACAGCTCCAGTCTCCAGCTCCCAGCGCAAGCGACACAGAAGACAGGTGATTTCTGCATTTTCAACTGAGGTACTGGGTTCATCTCACTAGGGAGGGTTTTAAAAACATAGAACACGAAATTATAACAAACGTCTTCCTCACTACAGTGCAATCAAACTAGTGAAAACTCAACGGATAAGAAAACTCAAATTCAAAGCTCAACTACATGGAAACTTAATAACTGCCACTGGAAATGACTACTGCGGTACATAAACAAAATGCAAGGCAGAATAAAGAGTGTTCTTTTGAACCAATGAAGAACAAAGCATACAACATACCAGAATCTCTGACACATTTAAGCAGTGGTGTAGAGGGAAATTTATATAGCACTAAATGCCCACAAGAAAGCTGGAAGGACTAAAATTGCACCCCTAACATCACATTAAAAGAACTAGAGAAGCAAGAGGCAAAACACATTCAAAAGTAGCAGCAAGGGCAAGAAAATAACTAAGATTCAGAGTTAGAATCTGAAGGTAGATAGAGACACAAAAACATCTCCAAAAAATTCAAATGAAATCCAGGAGTTGGTTTTTTGAAATAGATTCAACCAAATTGATAGACCGCTAGGCAGGACTAATAAGAAGAAAGAAGAAGAATCAAATAGACGGCAATTAAAAAATGCATGAAGGGATATCACCACCGACCCACAGAAAACAAACTACCATTCAAGCGAAGATACTATCAAACACCTTACCAAATAAACTAGAAATCTAGAAGAAATGGATAATTTCCTGGACACTACACTTCCCAAGCAAGACTTAAATCCAGGGAAGAAGCTGAATACCTGAATAGACCAATAGCAGACTCTGAAATGGAGAATATTAATAGCCCTTACCAACCAAAAAAGTCCAGGACCAGATGGATTCACAGACTGGTAATCAACAGAGGTACGAATGAGGCTGTTTACACATTCCTTTCTGAAATACTCCAACTCAATACGAACAAAGAGGGAATCCTCCCTAACTCATTTATTGAGGGCCAAATCATCCTGATCCAAAGGCCTGGCAGGAGACACAACAAAAACAGAGAATTTCTAGACAACTGATCCACTATCGAACATCGTATGCAAAATCCTCAATAAAATACTGGCAAACCGGACTCCAGCAGCACATCAAAAGTTATCCACACATGTCAAGTGGGATTCCTGGGATGCGCAAGGCTGGATTCAACATACCGCAAATCAACATAAACGTAATCAGCATATAAACAGACCAAAACAAAAAACTAATGATACCTACTCAATAGATGCAGAAAAGGCCTTTGACAAATATTCAACAGCCCTTCATGCTGAAAAATGCTCCATAAATTTGGCTATTGGATGGAACGTATTCTCAAAATAATAAGACATTCTATTTATGAAAACCCCACAGCCAATATCATAATGAATGGGCAAAACATGGAAAAATTCCCTTTGGAAAACTGGGCACAAGACAGGGATGCCCTTCTCTCACCACTCTATTCAACATAGTGTTTGGAAGTTCGTGGCTAGGGCAATCAGGCCAAGAAGAAAGAAATAAAGGGTATTTAGTTAGGGAAAAGAAGAAGTCAAATTGTCCCTGTTTGGCAGATGACATGATTGTAATATTTAGGAAAACCCCAATTGTCTCAGCCCCACAATCTCCTTAAGCTGATAAGAAACTTCAGCAAAGTCTCAGGATACAACAATCAATGTGCAAAAATCACCAAGCATTCTTATCACACAATAACAGACAAACAGAGAGCGAAATCATGAATGAACTTCCATTCACAATTGCTTCAAGAGAATAAAATACCTAGGAATCCAACTATACAAGGGATGTAAGGACCCTTTCAAGGGAGAACTACAAACCACTGCTCATGAATAAAAAGAGGACACAAACAAATGGAGAACATACCATGCTCATGGATAGGAGAGAACATACCATGTCATGGATAAGGAAGAATCAATATTGTGGAAAATGACCATACTGCCAAGGGTAATTTAGATTCACTGCCACCCCATCAAGCTACCAATGAGTTTCTTCACAGATTGGAAAAAACTGCTTTAAAGTTCATATGGAACCAAAAAGAGCCGCATCTCCAAGACAATCCTAAGTCAAAAGAACACAAGCTGGAGGCATCACGCTACCTGACTTCAAACTATACTACAAGGCTACAGTAACCAAAACAGCCATGGTACTGGTACCAAAACAGAGATGTAGACCAATGGAACAGAACAGAGTCCTCAGAATAATACCACACATCTACAGCCATCTGATCTTTGACACAACCTCAGAAAACAAGAAATGGGGAAAGGATTCCCTATTTAATAAATGGTGCTGGGAAAATTGCGCCATAAGTAGAAAGCTGAAACTGGATCCTTTCCTTATCCTTATACGAAATTAATTCAAGATGGATTAGAGACTTAAATGTTAGACTAATACCATAAAAACCCTGGAAGAAAACCTAGGTAATACCATTCAGGACATAGGCATGGGCAAGGACTTCATGTCCAAAACACCAAAAGCAATGGCAACAAAAGCCAAAATCTGACAAATGGGATCTAATTAAACTAAAAGCTTCTGCACAGCAAAAGAAACTACCATCAGAGTGAACAGGCAACCTACAGAATGGAGAAAATTTTTGCAATCTACTCATCAGAAAGGGTAATATCCAGAACCTACAAAGAACTCAAACAAATTTACAAGAAAAAAACAAATAACCCCATCAAAAAGTGGGCAAAGGATATGAACAGACATTTCTCTAAAGAAGACATTCATACAGCCAACAGACACATGAAAGATGCTCATCATCACTGGCCATCAGAGAAATGCAAATCAAAAACCACAATGAGATACCATCTCACACCAGTTAGAATGGCAATCATTAAAAAGTCAGGGAAAGAACAGGTGCTGGAGAGGATGTGGAGAAATAGGAACACTTTTACACTGTTGCTGGGATTGTAAACTAGTTCAACCATTATGGAAAACAGTATGGCGATTCCTCAAGGATCTAGGACTAGAAGTACCATATGACCCAGCCCATCCATTACTGGGGATATACCCAAAGGATTATAAATCATGCTGCTATAAGACACATGCACACGTATGTTTATTGAGGCACTATTCACAATAGCAAAGACTTGGAATCAACCCAAATGTCCATCAGTGACAGACTGGATTAAGAAATTGTGGCACATATTCACCATGGATACTATGCAGCCATAAAAAAGGATGAGTTTGTGTCCTTTGTAGGGACATGGAAGCAGCTGGAAACCATCATTCTCAGCAAAGTATCCCAAGAAGCAGAAAACCAAGCACCGCATATTCTCACTCATAGGGTGGGAACTGAACAATGAGATCACTTGGACTCGGGAGGGGAACATCACACCACTGGGGCCTATCATGGGAGAGAGGAGGGGAGAAGGATTGCACTGGGAGTTATACCTGATGTAAATGACGAGCTGATGGGTGCTGATGAGTTGATGGGTGCAGCACAGCAACATGGCACAAAGTATACATATGTAACAAACCTGCACGTTATGCACATGTACCCTAGAACTTAAAGTATAATATTAATA